TTAACATGATTCTAGCATGAATTAGCATGTTACTAGCATGATTATAGCATGAATTAGCATGTTGTTAGCATGATTCTAGCATGTGACTAGCATGATTCTAGCATGAATTAGCATGTTGTTAGCATGATTCTAGTATGAATTAGCATGTGACTAGCATGATTCTAGCATGAATTAGCATGTTGTTAGCATGATTCTAGTATGAATTAGCATGTGTCTAGCATGATTTTAGCATAAATTAGCATGTGACTAGCATGATTCTAGCATGAATTAGCATGTAACTAGCATGATTCTAGCATGAATTAGCATGTCCTTAGCATGATGGATAGATAGATAGATAGATAGATAGATAGATAGATAGATAGATAGATAGATAGATAGATAGATAGATAGATAGATAGATAGATAGATAGATAGATAGATATAGAGGTAGATAGATAGATAGATAGATAGATAGATAGATAGATTAAAGTAGTTTATAGATAGATAGATAGATAGATAGATAGATAGATAGATAGATAGATAGATTAAAGCAGTCTATAGATAGATAGATAGATAGATAGATAGATAGATAGATAGATAGATAGATAGATAGATAGATAGATAGATAGATAGATAGATAGATTAAAGTAGTTTATAGATAGATAGATAGATAGATAGATAGATAGATAGATAGATAGATAGATAGATAGATAGATAGATAGATAGATAGATAGATTAAAGTGATAGATAGATAGATAGATAGATAGATAGATAGATAGATAGATAGATAGATAGATAGATAGATAGATAAATAGATAGATAGATAGATAGATTAAAGCAGTTTATAGATAGACAGATAGATAGATAGATAGATAGATAGATAGATAGATAGATAGATAGATAGATAGATAGATAGATAGATAGATAGATAGATAGATAGATTAAAGTAGTTTATAGATAGATAGATAGATAGATAGATAGATAGATAGATAGATAGATAGATAGATAGATAGATAGATAGATAGAGAGAGAGAGAGATAGATAGATAGATAGATAGATAGATAGATAGATAGATAGATAGATAGATAGATAGATAGATAGATAGATAGATTAAAGCAGTTTATAGATAGATAGATAGATAGATAGATAGATAGATAGATAGATAGATAGATAGATTAAAGTAGTCTATAAATAGATAGATGATAGATAGATAGATAGATAGATAGATAGATAGATAGATAGATAGATAGATAGATAGATAGATAGATAGATAGATAGATAGATAGATAGATTAAAGTAGTTTATAAATAGATAGATAAATAGATAGATAGATAGATAGATAGATAGATAGATAGATAGATAGATAGATAGATAGATAGATAGATAGATAGATAGATAGATAAAATCAGTTTCTAGATAGATAGATAGATAGATAGATAGATAGATAAAATCAGTTTATAGATAGATAGATAGATAGATAGATAGATAGATAGATAGATTAAAGTAGTTTATAGATAGATAGATAGATAGATAGATAGATAGATAGATAGATAGATAGATAGATAGATAGATAGATTAAAGTGATAGATAGATAGATAGATAGATAGATAGATAGATAGATAGATAGATAGATAGATAGATAGATAGATAGATAGATAGATAGATAGATAGATAGATAGATAGATAGACAGATAGATGGTGTAAGAGCATGAGTCAAACAAGCCAACCCCCGCCTCTCTACGATGTTCTGATGCTGAGATATAGCTGGTGCCATATCGTTGCTAGGTTAGTCTGTTTTGTTGCTATGGAGTTGATTGACAGCTTAGACTGATGATGTATCAAAGCTTCTTGCCAGTATGAACAGTTAAAAACAACCCCCATGTCTCTATCACACTGCAGCATGACAATATCAGTCTGAACCTCTTTAATGGCAGTCTATGGGACAGTTGCTAGGGTGCAGTATCTGGTTGTTAGGGTGTGGCTTAAAAGTTAAAAGGCCATCAGTGATTGGCTGCTGGCTAGACTGAGTTAAATGAGCTCAATCATTAGTCTGTAGGACAGTCTGATGCAGAGTTATGAGCTCACAAAGTTTGATCCCATGTAAAGTCAATGAGAGTCTTTTGCAATGGAAGTCTATGGGACGGTTTCTAGGGTCCAAAAGTGGTTGCTAGGGCGTGGCCAGAAAGTTTAAAGGTGATCAGTCATTGGCAGTTTGATAGTCTGAGTTAAATGAGCCCAGTTAGAAGTCTGTGTGACATTCTGATGCGGAGTTATGAGGTCACAAAGTTTGATCCAATGTTACGTCTATGGGATTTTTCCGACGGTCCCGGGACGTTTTTCGGAAAACCGAAAGTCGGATCAGTCGGAAAGGATATAGCAACTCGAGTCAGAATAGTTCGGAGGTCTGACCCGAGTTTGATGGTCATAGCTTGAAAGGCCTAGGACGAGATAGAGTTTAATTTTTAGTCTCAGAAGAAGAAAATATAATAATAATATTAAGTTTAATAGGATAACAGTAGTCTGGCTTGCTACACAAGCCAGCCTAATAATATAGAATAATAATAATAAGTTTAATAGGATAACAGTAGTCTGGCTTGCTACACAAGCCAGCCTAATAATAATAAGTTTACGTGAGATAACAGTATGTTGGCTTTTCAAGCCACCATAATTATTTAAATTAACTATTGACGCGCGCACACACTGCGCCGTCTAGCTAGTGAGCTGATACATACAGAGCGCGCGAAAATTTGCAAAAGACGGTTATGACGGTTAAAGACAGTAAACAGTCAATTAAAGAAATACGCGCGCAATTTAGAGTAATAACATCCCATGAACAAAATATAGACCATTTCAGTGAGACCACCATTCCGTGGTCTCGTCATTGGCCCATGAACATTTCCTGCTTGTTGTCAAGCTTTAATAAGAGGCAATACAATCATACATTAAATGTTAAAACAGCGATCATAACACTATTTATCAACATGTGGCTGTTTTTGATTCTCGGAAGCTAAAAAAATATATTTGTAAAACAGGAAATACATTGGGACCATTGTTTTTGTTTACATCCCCCAAAATATTCTAGTGTTTTGTAGTATTAACTGAACTAATTAATTCTGTATACTTTGCAGTATTTGTTTACATTATTATAGCTGTTGTGTAAGATTAATTCAAGCAGTTTAATATTCAAAAACGAATCAATTTATATGAAATATATTCTAATGCTGTGACTGAAGTGACCTTGAAAACACTATTAAATATTTTTATAATTATTTATTAGTGGGGGCGATGCGGTGGCGCGGTAGGTAGTGCTGTCACCTCACAACAAGAAGGTCGCTGGTTCAAGCCTAGACTGGGTCAGTAGGTGTTCCTGTGTGGAGTCTGCATGTTCTCCCCGTGTTTGGCGTGGGTTTCCTCCGGGTGCTCCGATTTCCCCCACAGTCCAAACACATGCAGTACTGGTGAATTGGGTAGGCTAAATTGTCTGTAGTGTATGTGTAAATGAGTGTGTATGGGTGTTTCCCAGAGATGGGTTGCAGCTGGAAAGGCATCCGCAGTGTAAAACATGTGCTGGATAAGTTGGCAGTTCATTCCGCTGTAGTGACCCTGGATTAATAAAGGGACTAGGCCGAAAAGAAAATGAATGAATATTTATTAGTGATAGGAGGCAGATTCTGAAGCATAAAATGAAAATCAATAAATAGTGAACATTTCTAAGTGTTACAGCTTTTTAATTTTTAACACATTGCAATTTTAACATTATAAAGAAAAATTAATAAAGTAATATTAATTTACTCTGAATTAAAGGTGACTTTTAAACTTCACAAATAATCAAACAGTAAATCAGATTAGAACAAAGTGTGTGGAAAAAAGCTTTTTCATGTAATTTAATAAGTATTAATTTGTTTGTGAAAACTCTATTCCTATTTAATTATACTTTGGCTCTTGACTGGATTAAAAAAATAAATAAAATGTTTAGTCAATTTCAATTACAAAGTGTAATTCAGCCGGTGGAACCAGATAACTGTTTATTTTGCATTACAGCTACATCTTGTGTTTTATAATGACAGAAAATGTGCACAATAAAAACACTCATATTAGTCTGCGTTTTATAATAAATATGCTGACTTCTAATCTCCTTGACTACATTATTATAATACTTATAAAAACATTTCTTTCAGAAATGATTAACAAAACTGTGTAAGGGTTGTGTCAGCATTATATTCATTTTAATTCAAGTCATTTTCATTCTTTATTGGTATATAGTTTACATCTGAATAATTTCAGTAGATCAAGAAAATGAAAATGAGAGAAGTTGCCTTGGCAAAGTATCTTTATTATCTTAATTTTATAAATAAAAGGTCATTTTTGTGTCTTTAATAAAAGCTTTGTTACGGTTGTAGTTTTAGAATACGCTGGAGTGCTGTACATTAACATGAGTTCATGCAGTCATACACAGCAATGAAGCATGAGTATTAATAAACGCAGCTCGTCAACATTCTGCTCATTATTGCACAGTTATTTATTCACTGGTTTCCTTTAAAAACCGACAGTCCACAGGATTGATTTAATGTGCACACGTCTCTCCGCTTCCGCCCACCAGCACTGCGTTTCCCAGCATGCACTGGTGCGTCAGCAGGTCTGCAGTGAGGAGGTTTGCTCTGGATCTTCAGTGTGGGCATGCATTAAAACAGCGGCGTTCCAGCAGCCATCAGACGCCTTAATGCACTTACCCACAATGCATCTCAGCACAAAGTAGTGGCGATCAATCCATCGAGTGCTACATTCAGGAAATACAGTTGGATTCTCTTATTGCACCGCATGTGTGTGTTACAACACTAAGACTTCATTAAAAACCCTATCAAGCTCGTTTACAGAGAATCTACAATAAATAAACACTGCCTTCTGCTCTCTGCATATAAACGTGTGGAAACTGCATTCACATTCATGATGGCTCATGCAACTACAGCATTGCATGGCATTTGGCTTAAGTGTAACATGAATACTTCGAGATATATATTTATATATGGCCTGATATGTGACGAGATCGGCTTTTGGCTGACCTCTAGTGCAAACTGGGAGTATTGCGCCGCTCGTGTCTGCTGTGGAGGAGGAGTATTGCGCCGCTAGTATTGAGTCTGGAGGAGTGTTGTGGCACTAGTGTTTGATGTGGAATACTGCACTGCAAGTATTCGAGTATTGTGTTTCCTGTGGAGGAGTACTACGCCGAAAGTATTCACTGTGGTGGAGTATTGTTTGCTGTGGTGGAGCATTACAGCACTAGAACTCATAGTATTAGCTGTGGTGGAGTATTGTTGGTGGTGTAGGAGTATTGCCGAACTACTTTGGTGGAGTATTGTGGCTCTGAAGAGTTTTGTGCTGCAAGGATTTATTGTGGAGGAGTATTACTACACAGCATTTGTTATAGAGTATTGTGACACAGTACTCAATGTGGAGCATTGCACCACAAGTATTCTCTGTGGAGTACTGCGCCACACGCTTTTTTCTGTGGAGGAGTAATGTGCCGCAAGTATTCAATGTGGACGAGTATTATGGAACTAGTTTTTGATGTGGAGTACTGCGCTGCAAGTATTAAAGTCTTGTTTCCTGTGGAGAAGTACTACACCAAAAGTATTCACTGTGGTGGAGTATTGTTTGCTATGGTGCAGTATTGTTTTCGGTGCAGGAGTTTTGCTAAATTAGTTTTCACTATCTAGTATTGTGCCGACAGCATTCACTTTGAATATCTGCAGTGCTAGTACTCACTTTGGTAAAGTATTGTGGCTCTAGTATTTGCTTTGAATAGTTTTCTGCCGCAGGTTTTCATAGTAATAGTAGAAGAGTATTGCACCACAAGTATTTATTGTGGAGGAGTATTGCTCCACATTATTCATTGTAGAGTGTTGCGCTGCAGATATTTATAGTGGAGTATTGCACCGTAACTATTTGCAGTGGAGTACTGCACAGCAAGTAATCAATGTGGAGTATTGCACTGCATGTATTAGAGAATTGTGTTTCCTGTGGAGGAGTATTACACCAAATATATTCACTGTGGTGGAGTATTGTTTGCTGAACTAGTTTTCACTGTGGAGTATTGCGCCGGTAGTATTCACTTTAGAGATTTGCAGTGCTAGTACTGACTTTGGTGGAGTATTGTGGGTCTAGTATTTGCTTTGAAGAGTTTTGTGCCTCAAGTATTCATAGTAAAGGAGTATTGCACCGCAAGTATCCCCTGTGGAGGAGTATTGCGTGCAAGTATATATTGTGGAAAATTGTGCTGCAGCTATTTCCTGTGGAGAATTGATTCACAAGTATATGTTGTGGAGTATTGTGACGCAGTGTGGAGTATTGCATTACAAGTATTTAAAGAGGAGTTTTGCGCCACACATATTTGTAGTGGAGTACTGCCACAAGTATTTAAAGTGGAGGAGTATTGTGGCACTAGTGTTTGATGTGGAGTATTGCACTGCAAGTATTAGAGTATTGTGTTTCCTGTGGAGGAGAACTACGCCAAATATATTCACTGTGGTGGAGTATTGTTGGCGGTGATGGATTATTGTTTGTGGCGTAGGAGTACTGCCAAACTAGTTTTCGCTGTGGATATTGTGCTGGAAGTATTCACTTTGGACCTTTGCGGCACTATTACTCACTTTGGTGGAGTATTGTGGCTCAAGCATTTGCTGTGAAGTGCTTTGTTCCACAAGTATTTGTAGTACAGGAGTATTGAACCGCAAGTATTCATTGAGTATTGCACCGAAAGTATTTGTTGTGTAGTACTGTGATGCAGTACTTGCTGTGGAGTATTACGTTACAAGTATTTGTTATGGTGGAGTAATGCGCCGCAAGTATTCGCTGTGGAGTACTGCGCCGCAAGTATACAATCCAGAGGAGTAATGTGGCACTAGTTTTTGATGTGGAGTACTGCACTGCAAGTATTAGAGTACTTTATTTCCAGTGGAGGAGTATTGTTTGCTGTGGTGGAGTATTACGGCATTAGAATTCATAGTGTTGGTTGAGGCGAAGTATTGTTTGCTGTGGTGGAGTATTGTTTGTGATGTGGGAGTATTGCCGAACTAGTTTTCACTGTGGAGTATAGCGCCGGTAGTATTCTCTTTGGAGATTTGCAGTTCTAGTACTCACTTTGGTGGAGTATTGTGGCTCTAGTATTTGCTGTGAAGAGTCTTGTGGCGTAAGTATTCACAGTAGAGTAGTGTGGAGTATTGTGACACGCTGTGGAGTAATGCGCCGCAAGTGTTCGATGTGGAGTTTTGCGCCACAGGAATTTGTAGTGGAGTACTGCACCGGAACTATTCACTGTGGAGTACTGCACTGCAAGTATTTCCTGTGAAGGAGTAATGTGCCGCGAGTATTCAATGTGGAGGAGTACTGCAGCGCTTGTGTTTGAGGTGTTGGAGTATTGTGGCACTAGTTTTCTCTGTGGAGGAGTATTGTAGCACTTATATTCTCTGAGATGGAGTGTTCATCATGGAGGAGTACTGCGGCGCTAGTTGTCTGTGGTTGAGTCCTCATCATGGAGGAGTATTGTGTTTTCCGCGGTGGAGTTTTGTGCTGATCATGTTGTCTGTGGAGGTTTACGCTCGGTCAGCAGGTCTGTGCAGCTCCAGAGCAGCGTGTGAGGGATTCATCCATGCATAGCAGAAAATATCATGCGCAGACAGTCATTGGAGAGGTAAGAAACCATTAGAAAAACATGAGGAAGGAGGTGAGGATGGAGGATCCAGGAAGAAACACCTGCAGACACACAACACCACACCACAGTCAGTCACAGACCAGCATGCACTGCTGCTCACGCTCAGGAGACACTGAGGCAGATCACAAACTGCTCCATGGCATCACAGTGTTACCGCAGACACCCTTAAACTCAGCTAAATGTCTGGATATTTCCCAGACATCAGGACCCTCAGAGAACACCGAGAGATCTCCAAGAACTCAAGAAGCCCCTGACCAGCTCAGCTTCTGTGGGCTGCAGTGTAAGAGCTGCAGAGCGATGGGCGGATGGATATAGATGCAGAAGTAGATGTAGATGGATGTAGTGTATATGGAGAGATAGATGGAGATGTGTTGATGTAGATGTATGTGTATGTAGATCTGCTAATGTAGATGGAGAACAGACATTGTCATAGATGCATTTGTGTAGATGTATATGTGTAGATATAGATGTGTATATGTAGTTACAGATGTACATGTGTAGATGTGCATGCATAGATGTAGCTGTGGCTGTGTTCTCACCTGTGTTATTCTGCTACCTGCACACCGGCACAGTTGTCTTTGCTCTCAGATGCGATCGCTAAATACTCCGCCCTGGAAAAGAACACACACACACACACACAACTTTACACACAATCCTGAAGAACAATACAAGTGTTAAAGTCACACTCACAGTATAAACACACACATGCAAGCGCACACACACAAACACACTCTTTCTTACACACACTCACTCACTGCACATGTGGATATGGTGTGTGTGTGTGTGTGTGTGTGTGTGTGTGTGTGTGAGACTGACGCGCTGGCTCTTAAAGCTTCCTCTCCGGCCGCTGCGATCTTCCTGTAGCAGTAGATCATCTCCACCAGGAGCCAGAGCTGCAGACCGATGATGGAGACGTACATCATCACCTCTGACACGATCGACGCGGTGCCTCGAGTGGCTGGAACAAACACACACACACACACACACACACACACACATTGGTGTGCAACATGAGCTGAAATGTGTGTTTTTGGGTGAACCGTCTCTCTCTGTGTGTGTGTGTGTTGTACCTTTGGCCACCACGGTCAGGTGCACGTCTTTACTGGTGACCTTGGAGAACTCGTAGTGTTCGTAGATGAGCACTCGGTTGAAGACGCAGCGGAAGACGCCGGAGTCGTTGAAGGTGACGTTGGTGATGTCGACAGAGGCGTCCTGCAGGTCCAGTGTGTTCCTGCTGCCGTGCCACTCCAGACGGTCCAGGAAACGCTCATCGATGATGTTCTCAGACGAGCCATCATATGTGTAGATCTGCACCACACACACACACACACACACACACACACACACGAGTATAAGTAGCAATAGTGTTCTTTAACATTTTACTGTTAGGTGTGACTGATTCACACTAAACTCAAGGAATGGACATTTCCTTCATTCATGTCCTCCACCAATAACATTCTGTGCTTCAAAAAGCACCACACACTCTCTATCAAAGACAGGTCGGGACTGCGGGCAGGCCAGTCCAGCGTCTGTCTCTTCTTCTCTGTAATGTGGTTCTGCATTGTCTTGTTGGACTCTGCATGGGCGTCTCTGGAGCAGAAGGCAGCATATTGAGCTCCAGAATCTCTCTGTGCTGTTCAGCATTAATGGAGCATCACAGAAGAGCAGGTCACCTTCACCAAGACCACCAACACAACCCCGGACCAGGACAGAGCCGGGCTGCTGGACCTGTTGCTGGTGTCAGTCTGGATGATCCTCTTCTTCTGTGGTCTGGAGCACACGGCGTCCATTTCTCCCAGAAACACCTGAAACACTGCTTCATCTGAGCACAGGACACGTCTCCACTGTGTGATGCTCCATCCCGGACGCCCAGAGCAGCGCTTGTGGACACTGTTAACATAGGGCTTCCTCTTGGCACAGTGCAGTGTCGGCTGGTGTTTGTGGATGTGACTCTGTATCGTGGAGCTTGACATGTTTGAGTCCTGAACCCATGTGCTGATCTGCTTATAGATGAATGAGGACTCTTGATGCAGCGCCCCCTGAGGGGTCGGAGGTCACGCTTGTTCAGCTCAGGCTTGCGCTCTTGTCCTTTACGCACTGAAACTCCTCCAGACTCCTTCAGTCTTTAATGCTGTTCTGCACTGCTGAAGGGGAAATCTCCACATGTCTTCCTCTCTCTCTCTGAGGAGCATTGTGTTCACACACTTCACTCATTTCCTCTCGTATCTGTGCTCAAACTGGAGATCCTCGACCCATCTCTGCTCCTACAGCACTAGAGCTTTCCTGATGAGCAGATCACCATCACCTGTGGACATCACCTGTGGACATCACCTGTGGACATCACATCTCATTCAGCAGATCACCTGATCACCGCCCTGCGCTGCTGCTGTCTCTGGAGTGTGTTGAGCTCTGACTGAGGAGAGGATGGAGATTCACTGAGCTGAAGCTGTTTCCTTTGTGTTTTCCAGACTGTCACAACCTTTTCTGATGTGTGTGTGTGTGTGTGTGTGTGTGTGTGTGTGTGTGTGTATGGACTCACGTGCACGAAGTCGGCCTCCCCGCGGGCCCTGAAGAGCCAGTCTACAGTCGCCGTGGCCTCCACTTCTCCACGCATCTTACAGGAGATGCAGCCCAGAGTGAAGCCCTGACCCGCCACTGCCTCTGTGTCTGAGTCCACCTCCGCACACGCCCCGCGGCACACACACACTGACACACACACACATCAAATACACTTCAAATCATACACACATCATATATCATAAACATTGTGTATGTACACACACACACACACACCTTATATCATACACAATTCATACATACACACACACACACACACACACACACACACACACACGTATTCCATATACATCATATATAAGACATACACACACACACACACACACCATATATCACACATATCATAAATACACACACAATCATACACATATCATATATTGAGACATCATATCACACACACACATACACACACACACACACACACAGCTGAGCCCAGTCTTAAAGTCAAACAACACACACTCACTTAATTATTTATGTGTGTGTGTGTGTGAGTGTATATATACAATATTTATAAGGTGTGTGTGTGTGTGTGTGTGTGTGTGTATAACTGTTTAGGCCTGTGTATAGCCAGTGTATATGTGTGTATAGATGATTGTGTACATATGTGCGTGTGTGTGTTCATGTCTGTATAGAGATAAGTGTGTGTGTGTCTGTGTGTGTAGATAACCATGTTTGTGTGTAGAGTGTTTATATGTGTCTGGATAAGTGTTTTTATTTGTGTGTGTGTGTGTTGTTGTTGTGTGTTTATATTTGTCTGATGAGTGTGTGTGTGTGTGTATGTCTGTCCGTGTAGGTGAGTGTTTATAGATGTGTGTATATATACGTGTGCGCAGATAGGTGTGTGTGCGCGCAGCGCATCCTCTCAGTCTCCTCTCTCTCTCTCTCTCACACACACACACACACACACACACACACACACACACACACACACACACACACACACACACACACACACAGATGCTGTACTCGCCTTGTGCTGCTCCTCAGGCGCTCCTCTGGCTCGTGTGTCCGGTTATCGGTGCTCGGTGTCGGTGAATCGCCATCATGCGCGGCTCGTTCAGGCGGTCGCGGAGTTCTGGAGCTCCCGGTGACGCTCCGACTGATGCATTGCGGTAAAAACCCGGGCCGCGCGCGCGTGCACACTCACCGAACGCGCAGTGACGTCATGACGCTACCGGCAGGTGCGGCCCTTCACTCTGAAGAATAATATAAGAATAACACTGAGATCATAGTCATAAACTAGTGATGGACAGTGAACAAGTCGAGTTTTAATCACATTAATAAATGTCGCCAGGAAACTACAAAGAAGAAACGATGATAGTTGATCATGATAATGAAACATCTGCTGAGGGTTTTAATTGCCAATATATTTTATAGCTCAATGCATAAAGTGTAATCATGATTTAGTGTTTATTTTATTTAAACATTGGTGATTACTCGTCATTTTTTACATTAATCATTGTATTAAAATATGTATTATTTATATAAGTTATTATTTATTATTTTAGACATTTTTAAATTACTTAAATAATATTATGTTAAACTATAGTACTTAGATTCATTTACGTCATTGTATTATATGTGTGCTGTGAGATGTAATATTGATTCATTATTGTTTGATGGATTGTTTGTTTGTTTGGTTATTTATTTAAATAAAATAATGCAACATTTGTTAACTTGGGTCAAATAAAAAAAGTCAATTATTTGGAGAGAACTTGGTTAACTGTGAATATATTATATAATTTTTGTTTCTCATTTGGGAAAGTCTACAATAATAAGATAATAATAAAATGTAAAAATGTATTAGTAATTATCTGCTAATTGTGAAGTTTTTTTAACTATACGTTTGTGAACAGCAGGCGGCGCACGCGTAACACAGCACAGCACAGCTCATGAATATTAATAATACACGCACACGCATCGCGCAAAAGCGTCTTGCGTCATGGCCTAATTAATATTCATGAGCTCGACCTTCTTTGCAGCGGGATTGGCTAACAGTATCAGGCACACACTGTCCTACACACGCTGTACAGATGAACCTGCAGCATATTTTACATTAAAATGCATTAAACACACACACACACACACACGTGCCGTTTATTCAGCCGTTACGTATTAGAGTCTAGTTTTAATTATTACTACACTCAAAAAACAAAACATTTATACAAAGATGACGGCAGATCACTAATATATTAATAATAATAATATTACTCCATATATCTGTCGATCTGTAGAAAACACATTTAAAAAACACAAATACGTAATGTTCGTTATTTAGTTCCTAACAGGGCGTGTCTTCCGGAAGGGGGCGTGTCTGTCTCGCTGTTCCGCAGAGCTCCATCACGGTGAACGCAGGTGAGATTATAAATATGTTGATATTTGGTTTCATATCGCGGATGTGTAGTTGATCATGTGTAAATGAGCGCAGTATCCGCGCAGTGCAGTGTGTGTGTTGCGCGCGGATGGCGGAGCGGCGCTCGAGCGGAGCTGTGTCGCATGTTCCTGTAAACACACATCATAATCATCACATCTGCGGGACTCATGATGATCAATACGCTGTATTATTGATGATAGCGCGATGGATCAGCATGTTTGGGTGTCATGTGGAGGGAGTGATCGTGTGTGGTGTGGCTGTGTGGTGTTCTGACGCTCTCTGCTACCTCTGGTTGTGCTAATGGAGGCTCTGCATCTGTCATGTTCAGGGCTCGAGCATCATATCAGCCTTGATGTCCGCCAGAAGTGAACTATAAGCTGAAATAAGGGTGTACAGACAGGGCCAGCACATCGTGTCACCTTCAGATGTGATGAGCTACAGCTCTAATAAACAGCTTCATTTTAAAACTCATTTAAATATTGAAGGTGGCGGTTCTGCTGCTCATC